GAACCAGACCAACAACCATTTCGACCTGCTGCTTTCGAGGGTGGCAACCTGAGGAGATGGAGTGGCATCCTTCCTTGAAGCCAACTTTCATGAGAGCGTGACCTTGCAGGACGGTGGGCCTTCGATTTCAGTAGTTTGGGCACTAATCACTCGGTATCAGCTGTGTTGTTTGTGTGTGTGCGCAGTAATTTCTTGACGTCAATGCGTCCCGTCGTTGCCCCGTGAGGCTCCGGGAAACTACACAGCGCATGCCAACCACAACTCCAGCAGCTTGACAGCGGAAGCTCCGACGAGCCTACTTGGGAACCGCTTTCAGGTTCGGGGCGCAGAGACGAAACAGCTTCGGCCAGTCGCTCTCAAATTTGCAATTCGGATTCGTTTTGGGGTGCTGCTTCAAGGCTGAGTTTTCGAATCTGCATGCCGCAGTTTGAACTTTCGATCATCCCCGAGAACTTATACCTGAGAGACTGAAGTCTCTAAACATGCTCCAGCCGCAATCCCGATGTCCCAGGCAAGTTGCTGAACACTCCGCAGAAGGAGCGCTGTACGTCAGAGGTTCAGCTGTCAACGGTTATATACAGTACCTCCGGAGGAGAGGGCACAGGCTCCTAGGGGGGGGGTGCTTCCCTCGAAGGAGCATGACAAGATGTTTGTCCTGTCGCACTTCTGGCTGCCGAGCCTCGGCTTGCGACTTGTGTCGTTGACTGCACACTGGAAAGTGGAAGGCACTTGCCATCCTTGAGGGCCCCAAGGACGGCGTTCCCTGCTGAACTCACAGGTTTTCAATCCAGTCCTCGGCATCTTCAAACTGCCTCCACATAGTGACATAATTAGTGTTATCACTGATGATGGAGCTGCCTTTGAGGATATTGCTGGTATCATCGCTGCTATTTGAGGCCGGGGCGGACAACCCACCGAGACTTCTTCCAAAACTCCCAAGCGGATCCAGTTGCACCTTAGCCTCGCTGATGAACACCAGCAGAGAAGGTTTTGGTCGAACCTTTCTGCAGATGCCGGTTCTATGCTAATCGTACATCCACGGGTCTCAACCCGAGGGTAGGTTCACGGGTGGCCTTCGATGCTCTCTCTTAGACAAGGGTGAAAACCTGCCGCCACACCCACCCCGCATCATGAGGAGGTGAAAAGCCCAAGGCCACTAGCAATTGATTGTAGTAGTAAGCATCAATCCAGGATGCTTCGTCGTGAAACTGTGTCATTCTGTGTCCCTAAAGCCTTGACGACGCTGCATTGCACAGGCGCTCCACCTCAAGTGGTCGGAAGTGGATTGGTCGCGCAGTGCGCAAAGAACCGATGCTTCTGAAGGCGACTTGACTTTGGCATTGGGGTGTGTGAGAGGCAGCCAGGCATCATCGAGCGCTCTCTCCAGAGCTAGATTCTACTTTGATCGACTTGAACTGAGGGGCGGAGGAGCGTGTGGATACCAGTTTCGCCGGCCTCACTGTGAAGCTGGTTCGAAGGGCGGACAACCTGGCGAGGATTTACTTCGCCACCCGGAGTGATTTCTCAGCTTGCTTGGCCTCTCAGTCTTCAGACATCACAGCGAAAAGCCCAAGACGTTTCCAATCCACGCCGCCGTAACAGCAGTGCAAGCAGTCCCTGACAAGGAAGGAGCCGGTCGAGTCAAGGGCCGATCCTACATGTTGACGCTTGTCCTGCCGGTGCAGAGTTCTGGGTGAAGGGTTTGCAGCGTCACACTTCGCAAAGGTGTAGTAAACCTTTGAGCCCGGGTTGTCTTCGGAAAGAAAGTTTTAGGTTCGTGAAGCTTCGGGTCATGCATGAGGGTTTGCATGCTAGCCGGCGTTTTTGCTTTGGGGCCAATCTCTCTGCGTCTCCTTGCAGGGCGAGAATGTTCGGACAGTGCTTCGTACAGGCTCCCTGAGCATGGGCTTATGCGCTGCGCTGGGCTGCTTTTGCCATGGGCCATGACTGACTGAGGTATATGCAGGTCCTCTATAGTCCAGGGGTCTCTCTCTCTCCCTCGCCGTCGCTGTGCCGGACGCAGGGTCTCGGGTCGGGGGATTCTTCCTTCTCTTCGATTCCTTCGCCCGCCTGAGCCGGGGTTTGCAGGCGTTCCTCTTTTTGTGCTCGTCTGGCGGGGGGCGGCACAGGAAAAAACTGTGCTGTCGGGCTTTCCTCTCCTCGGCGGGAATTTCTCCATGTGCCTTGAAGAACACGGTTTTCCAGCCTAGCACTGTCCAGACCCACTTCGCAGCAGCCTGCGCAGGTCCCGGATTCAAAACTTGATGCCCGGCCTAGGATGCAGAGGCAAGCAAATTCGCATGCAGAGATGCTCCGGGGCCGTTGCCATTTTCTCCAGCTAGATCGAAGTTTGAAGTAGAGGTCTTACAAACTTCACTCGTTTCATCGACAAGCGTTCAACTCCGCCTGCTCAATGCCGTTCAGGGGACAGTGTCCCGGGAGAGAAAGAAACACCCACGATTCACCTGTCCGAGTGACCTCTGCAAGCGGTTTGAGGCGTGGCTCCGAAGGGTTGCCGTTTCTTCTTGACGTCTCATTGAAAACAGTGTGTCCGATGGCGGAGATGGGGAGGTTTTGTGATGGATGAATAACGATGCCGAGACAAGGAACTTCTTGAGCAAACAACTCTGAATGGTTCGAGATGACAGGTCCGCATGGTACATCGCGGTTTCTTCAGAATGTTATCCATGAATGTGTTAAACCGCAACAAACTTCGCAGATCGACTTCTCCACGAGATCTACAGAACACGAAGACAGTGCGAACCACTCGTGAAATGCCTCCAATAAGGATGCTGATGTGCCACAGCCTTTTCGGCCAGTATCTCAGCCTGGCACCCTGACCGATTTAGCATGCTTGAGGGATTCGTGAGTTCGAACGTATTTTTCTCGAATTAACCTCTGTTTACAGATCCGCACGAGTCCTTCCCGCAAGGGACCGTGCGGATTGGGTGGGCTGCAGGCTAGCATGTACCGTAGCGACTGGGCTACGGGAAGAGGCAAGAGACTGCTCAGCGCCGTGGTGTTCATGTTAGTGGCAAGCTCTCCAAATCTTCAGGTCAATTTCGACTACATGAGCCGGTTCTTCGATTTTTACCAGCACCCCAGCCAAGCCGTCTTCGTGGCATTGATGAGCAACTGGCTTGTTCTGTCGCTCGACCGGTAACATATCAAACATATCAACCAACAGCCCATGAATCCTACCTACTACACCGCCCGGCTTGTGTCTTGTTTACATGTGCGTGCGCATGCTTGATCAAGACACAGGCATGTATGCGGCTTTCTCGCGCGCGAAATCGAATCTTATAGCGGAAGCTGTATAAGACTCCTGCGACAAAGAGCAACTCCGTCTCCACAACAGAGATCCACAAGACTCCATGCCATATGCACTGCAAAAAAATGTTTCCGTTCAAGTTCAAAGAAGATGCGCAACTCTTTGCCCTTGGCACAAGGCTTCGATTAAGGCCGGGGCAGCCTTGTTTTGCTGCTTGAACGGTTGTGACAACGTTCACGATCAAAAGGGCGCTCAAGCCCACTGAATACAACACGAGCACTAGCGGTAGCAGTTTTGCAGCACTTTGGCAGTACATTATCGTCCGGGCTTGAAGAACAGGTTTGATCATGCCCATGTTCTGGATGTCTGCAGTAGTGTTCACGGTCACGTGCCGGGACTTGATTTCTGCCCCCGTGCCCCTGCATTGTGCGATGTGGGACATCGTTGGACGGTGTGATGTATGGGTTCGTGTGTTCTGGAGAGGTGATGTCATGCAGAAACCAGTACCTACTCTGGAGCCCAATGGAGCAAGCCTGAGTATGGAGGGCCATAGGCATGCATGCACATAGTCGTAGACATTAGCTCATTAGCTAGCTGGCACTCATCTTCTTGTGACGGGCTCCTCGCTGCTGCCAAGGTACGGAAGCATGTGCCTGACAGCTTCTAAGTTGCAGAGATTGATGGGCATACAGAGGGTCTCAGGCGGACATCCCGACCAGGCATGTAAACTTGCAGCATTGACACGGGGGTTACACACCAGTGCAGGTGCGAAGTGCACGCATGGCCCGATGACATCCTCACGTAGTGCACTCCGAAGAGTCCGAGGCGGTGTACTCTCAGTATATTGAGAGCATGCTCTTCATCCACTGGAAAGACCACATGACCCGATACTTCGAGAGGATTTGGGTGCCTGGCCTACCTTCGCCCATGATGTGAGTTCCGAGGTCCGAGACTTGAGAAGCCTGAAAGCCAGTCGAAGCGAAGCAGGGCTCACAATTCAGATTCAGGTGCCGCACAGCTACGGCTTCAAGATGAAAGATGCCACTCGATCATTCCGAAATTCAGCAAAAAATGCATTTGGCAGATGCATGTTATTGCTTTTCCCACCCAACCAGAGGTGCTAGACTGCTAGGGAAGAATGCGTAGCTGCCTTTGGGTCACTACGGCTCGCTGCACCTGTGCTGTCGGAACCTGGCCATGTCACTGTCAGGACAGCCGAGTGGATAACCCCGACCAGCGAATCCAGGAGGACTTGTGACATGTGTTTACTTCTGTTTATCTCGATTGCATCTGTGCCATGTCTCAATGCTCCGTGTATTGTTTTCTGAGAAGAATAGCTGCACGGAATTTGCCAAGATTGGGGCTCAGTCCTCGCGGCCGAGAAAAACGGAATTTGATTGCGAAGCACGTGGATCAAGCAGTCCCAGTAGGGTTGCATTCCTTTGGCCTACCAAAACCTTCGCCTCTAACTGTGACTTGCTTTGTCCTCGTAAAGGCATGAATAAAGGAAGGCCTGCTCTGGAGTAGTGCTGCGTCAGCAGGGCGTCAGCCAGGACATTGGCAGCTTTGTGCCTTCCACATACGACTTGACCATGGGAGCTGCTTGGAGTGTCGACTACACTTCGAGCCGTGTTGGTTTCGCTCGTTCTTGGCTTTCGGTCCAGCATGCTGAGGTTATGGATGCCACTTTGCAGCTGAGCATTTACAGCTCCGTGGATGATATTCGTTCAAGTCAGGACAAGGTGAAGATGCATCCTCATTCGGTGCCACAGTTTCAAGACGTTGCCCTTGAGCATCGAAGGCATCATGCTCATCCAGGTCCAGCCGAAATCAGCATTTCCTGGGCTTCTGCTTCTTGGCCGATGCCCTGTCATGGCAGGCCTGAGCTTGGATGAGGTGCTTCCACGGCCGGAGACATGCCACTCCAGCCTGGGTGGGAGCGCAAGTGGCAACCATAGGGACCACGAGATCACACTCAACTTGCAGATAGTCTAGCAAACATGGAACTCGGAGGAGTAACCGTGGGAATTACGCAATAGCGGTTGATGCAGCTCCACAACCTGACCAGTACAATGATGATCTTAGGCCCTGAGGCGCAAGACTGTTGTTGTGTCAGCCCTCTCAGGTTTGGAATTGCCATCATTTACACACTCATCGGCTCTGTGCCTGGGACTGGCATGGTTGCGTTTGTTACCCTGATAGTTTGCAAGGGCTTCACTCATATTCACCCCCAGCCTTGAAAACCCAAATCAGCCTCGCTTGTGGGCATAGATCCCCAGCCATGCGAGACGGGAAATCAGGCACTTGTGACCAGCACACGACTCCGGGCATTGGATGGTTGCGTCCTCGTCTCGTAGTACCAAGCCCTCACGGCCAGGCCCACTTGCTCTCGCTGAATCTCTCCCATACCTCGTCCGATTTGAGCGATTTCTGATATTTCTGCAAGAACTAGAGTCTAACTAGAGAAACCGAGAAACCTCTGACTCAATGAAGTTTCAACCGCATTGTTTAGACAAGGTGGGAGGCAAGATGCTCCAGAGGTATGTCAGAAAAATTGCTCACTGCCACTCTCATTCCAGCCCCTTGCTGGTACTCTCTTGCCGCACTCATCCCCCAGGTAGCCGTGCACTGGATCGGTCGAGACCTTGCGTTCCTATCTTGGCAAGGGGAGCGATACGGAGGCTCCACTCCCGAATCTGGGGGCTTTGCACCTGTTTCAGTGTTAATGGGGCGAAACAGCGGTCAAACGGGCTTGTGCCTGGTACGGTGTGAGATTTTGGGGCAATCTGGCTTAGTCAAAGCTGAGGTTGTGAGTTTCTTGGTTCTGGATTTCTTTCCTCGACCCATCCTCTAAACCTATTTGTGGCTTGAACAACTCTGAGCCCATGGCTCCCCCGGCACTGTTTTCATCGAACACAGAAAGGCCATTTCCGGGCAGAGCTCCGGCGCGTGCATGACCAGAGTGGCGTGGACGACTTGAGGTTAGGGCTGCGGGGCTTGAGAGGTTCTCATTTACACGCAATTCCACTGTTTGAACGTCGTAAAGCCTCGGTGTCGAACCTATGTGTCAAAACCGATGTCCCGATAGGACCAGAACCTGATCTCAGATGCCGTAGAAACTCTAGAGCTTTGAGGTGAGACGGTGGCCGCCCTCCGATCTCATGAGGCTGAACTTCAGCGGCTGGAGCAACGCTTCGAAGCCTTGAAGCGGCGCTGCTGCAACGAAGAAGATTCTGGTTCGTGAAGCTTTTGGGGTTGCCGAGAGACCAAGCCTCAGTGAGTCTCTGGTGCAGGTGGAATAAGTGGCAGGGCATGATCCTGAAGCATCCCGGCTGATGCTGGCGTTGTGTTTTGATTTTGGGGCTGCAAGTGCGAAGCAGGGTGAAATCGGTTTGCTGACCACTGTAGCATGCCGTGGTGTGTGCCATAGGGGAAGCTCGGAAAGGACTGCTTCGCACTCCTCACTCCTGGGATTTTGCAGCTCTCACAAGTCATGGTTGCCCGAGACCTGAGGAAGCGTCTCGGATGGTTCGATCGGATCTACGACCCGTTCAAATCTGTCCTGTTTGTTTGCGTCCTGATGCCGTTCTTCATCAAGGGAGAGGCTGGACACCTGCATAGAATCATCGAAGCCGCAAAGCCTAGGACCTGAGACACATTAGGCACGCTAGCAGCATGACAGCATCGATCGCTTGGACCCCACAAGCCTGAGAGTTATACAACCCAAGGTGAACGTCCCAACCTGAGTTCGGCTGCCAGGTGTCTCTAGGCACTGTGAAGCAGTGCGAGATGGCTTTGTCGCGTATTACTGCTTCCCTCGGTGTCTTGCCACACAGCCAAGTAAGTTCAGGGCATCTAGGGGCCAACGGCGCAACAAAACCCGGATATGATTCAAAAATATCTTAAAATCGTGTAGTCCGGCGTCGCGATGCGCGTCCATGGTATCCATGCTACTGACAACCTTACAGGCTAGCTCACTCAATGCTAGCAAGCATTGCACCCTGCGGTCGCGGGGGCGAAAGAAATTCCAGTACAGCTCAATGTTGACATGGTGCTTGCTAGTGTGATGGTGTCCTGACACAGCTACGCAGATGCTACTTCATGGCCTTCCTGATGCAGCCTGCTGACTTCTCCGAGGTTTCTTCATCCACGAGTACAAGCACCTGGCTTCCTACAGAGCTCAAGTGGATCGTTTGCTGCTTGATTGTAACTGCAGCATGGGGTTTTGTGGGCTGCAGAGGAGATGGCTTGGTCGCCCTGTCGGACGGGGGTTTCGAGCACAGTCGGGCCAAGACCAAGATTCTGCGATTGCGTATATGAGCTCTCGGAAGGTACAACTTTCGCTGCTGTGGTCTTGCATTCATGCAGGACCGCACCATTGTTCTGCATGTTTCTGAGTGATGCTTTTTAGGGGATTCTGTCAAGCAACAACAGCCGCAGTGTGGCCAGTCCAGAAATAGAGCAAGTGTATGCTGAATCCCGTTCACTTTCATGCCCAGGCCCTGGAAAGAGCACTCTAGACTCTAGGGCAAAGAAAAAAAGATCACAGAAGCATGTTGACCTTCGAGCCAACCTACATGTGCTTTTTGCATTTTTGCAGGAGAAGGCGGGCACGTCTTCCGACACTCCAGGTGGGAGGCGTGGCGGAAATAGAGTCATGGACTCAGGTGCGGCATTGACCACGAGTTCGTTGGCATGTGGGACTGGGGGTTCCAAGGCTTCCGAAGAAGAGCTCGATTTGGAGGTGCCGTTTTACTTTGTCTCCACTTGGTTCACAGTCAGGGATGGCGGGCACATGTCTTCTGGAAGTCACCAAGTTTCATTTGCAAAGACGGAGTGGGATTGCGGGAGGTGCCTTCAGCTTGGGTTTTCAGACCGCTGTGCACGCACGCACTTGGCCATGCACACCAGCCGAAGTAGCAACGAGCACATACGAGCGCCGTCCGCGCTCATCAGAACACTCTAGAGCCCGAAAGCATTCAATGCAGCTACACGTAGAATGCAGACATCCCACAGCCTCAACGCTCACACTACAGTAGCATTATGACGATGCCGTTCCGGCAAAGAGGCTTGTACGACATCCTCGAACGACTAGGCCGCCACACTCGCAGAGACGGATGCGGTTGCACATCAAGGGCGAGCCTGACCGCAAAAGCATCTGCGCCTTTCAATTCTCGAGGCAAATGGCAGAGCAATGCACACCTATCGGACTTGGAACATTGTCACACAGAGCTCACGTCTGACCGCTTCGCAGCAAGGCCGAGTAGGCAAGCGCAGCAAGAAGGCGACACTCCTTCCACGAAACATTGTTGAGCACCATGAAGGGAAGCCCAATCGGGCCGGGTCCGTCCAAAGCTCAGTACGGGAACTTTGCCGGAAAACGTCCAATGTATGTTTCGAACCCTTTGCAGAAACAGAGTCCCAAGCTTTCAGTTGCTGCTAGGTGGATGCATCACTTCGACAGCACCTCTCCACTGGCGAAGCTGTCCCGGCTCCGCAAGCACCGACGGCGGAGGCAAGTGTGCAGATCCTTAACGCGTAATGCATCAAGAACATAGGTTGCTGTAAGGTCTTCGAGGTGACGAGGCCTGGGTTCAGGTAGCGTTGGGGTTCAATTGTCGACAGGGTGAGTATGTTGCAGCGGGGTTTGGATGCCGCGTGAAAAGGTGATCTTGCAAGACACCTATTTCGGGATCGGTGCTGTGCCGAAGCAGTGTTGAGACGCGTTGGGCGATTGGCACGAGCGTAACGCGATACGCTGTTAAATAGACAGCCTCCGAGACTTCCCAACTGGTGCCCACCCCCGGCTGAGGTTCTGGAGCTCAGAAGAGCGCGGGTCAGTTTGCCCTCGGGAGAAGTGTTGATGGAAGCTGACTTCCGTGCGCCTTGGTCTTGAGCTTCGGAGTGTTTGGTCGTAGGGCGAATCCTCCGTGAACGACCTTCGTAGACAGGAAGAGCTGGGCTCCAAGTCCAGGCGATCTAGAGTCTAGACTTGGTCGCTTTGGCCAGCCACGCCTCGCGATAGGCAGGACAGCCCTTCGAAGACGAAGACGATCCCAAATTCTTTCACACGAAGGATTAGTGATTCATTTTACAACACGTTCCGACCATCCCTGCCATTGCACATCTCTGCGGATATGATTCTGATTCTAGGGGATAAATTACTGCTTACCTAGTGGTACTGCTACCACACCTTGCTTGCTGCTGGTACGGCGCTATCAGCTTCCGCCCCAAGCATCGAGGTGACGAAAGGTACCAGCGTGCTCCTTTGCGGTGGCGAGGGGTCGGGCAAGTCAACCTTCCTGCGGGCGCTGGCAGGCGTGCTCTTCAAGTGTGCCTTTTGTTTGTGAGGGTTTCTGCTTGACGCAGGCGATTTTTCGCGTCGCCCGTTCTAGCTCCGATATTATCCATCCGAATCTACCTGTGCCCAATGTGTGAGCACGATGGCGCTTAGACATGCAACCAGTAACGTCACTGAAAAATAGCCGCTACACAGACCCGCCTCAGCCGACTCAGCAGCCGTGGCTGCACAGTTTGGGGGGAAAGCACTTCTAAGCCTCTACAGTAAACCCAAGCACGCCAAATCTTTAACATTCTAATTCCTGGGTGGTTTGCCTGGGGTTGGGGTGAGCTGTAGTGGTCGTCGGGGCAAAAGGAGGGAAGTGGAATCCACTTGTAGCAAAACCGGGCCGGTTTGCAAGCTGCCTGGTTTTACAGGTCTGCAAATGTCCGTGACAAGGGATTTCCATTTGTTCCTTCTACCATGAAGCGAACACGCGGCTTGCTTTCTACCACACCTGGTCAGCTTTGTGTTGTAACAGGGTTTTAAACAATGAAAGAACAAGATGCAAGAGCAATTTAGAACTAGCTGTGCGAGGTGTCAGATCTCAAGCCTGTGAGGGGGCCCCCGGAAGGGCGCTGGTCACTGAAAGGACCGTTACACCTTTATCAACTCCCGAAAATCAAGTTGCTTGACCTTCTGATTCGGCAGAGACTCTTTTCCGGAAGGGGCTTGGAAGATGGCGTGTTCAAAGCCCTCAACTCTACACCCGACAAGACGAAGAAGCTCCTAGAACTACGAACACTAGAGTAGAAAAGAGAAGCCTGGTTGTGCTCCTTCTTCCCCCCATCACCGGATGAAGATGATGGAAGCGAGAATGAATATGATAGACTTTGGGTGGAGATCGGAGTCCATGATGATCGGGGTGATCGTCAGGATGAGGCAAAACGAAGACGATGAGATCCTACCTCTGCTTGTACGGGAGGTGGTGTGTGTATACATTCAGTCATGTCTTTGGAAGCTTCCTTCTCACTTGCATGTACAGTTCGCCAACGCATATGGGCCGTTTGCTTCGGAGCTCACTTGCTTCTGTCAACAACAAAGCCTCTGAACCAGGGACAAGTACGTTTTCACGTAGCAGTTTCGGTGTCGTTTTTTGTCGACTTGCGGTTCTAAAAAAAATTGGCGTTATTTCGCCAGTGCCACCAGAAAAAGTTTTTGAAGAGAGCTGGGGGTAAATCTAGACTCTGAAGCCTCGGCGGAGTAGACTGGGGAAGCCTATAACGCTAGTGCCGATCGTCATTTCCCTATTGCTTTCTAAACGCAGGGCACGAACGACCACTTGACACGTGACACAAACCCGGAAACTGCATATCGCACAGCAGCAGAATCCTCACGAAAGCCTCTTCAGGAATCTGGCCTTTCACTTCGGCCGAGGAGGCGTCGGCGCCTCTGAGCCCCCAGCTGCACAGAGCCAATCTTCGGTGACAGTTTCCTGCGCGAAGGATGCCTTGCCGTGGTGGTGCTTCCTCCTTCTTGTTCGATCGACATGACCAGGGATGAAACCTGTGAGGGAAGCACCTGGGACAACTGAGGACTTCAAGCGATTGCTTCTTAATTCCGCAGAAGCCGAGGCCGACGGAAGCTCGGTGAGTGACAAATAGAGATGCATGGCCAGCGGCAACGGTTTACACGTAGTCCACGGTGCATCACGGTGCTTGTGTTCCTGATGCAAAATCAGCTTGCCGCAAGTTCAGCGATTCAGAATAGGTTAACAGCTTGTGTCCAAGATGATGCAAGCCATTTCATCGTTCAGCATGGAGTTGTGCCGTTGGATTCGGGAGCCTGTCGGTATTCAAGCTGAAGGCAAGAAGAGGAGGTACAGAGCACGGCCTGCTGCCGTAGAAGATAGCATATGAAGCCAAGGCCCAGGGGCTGTAGTATGTCATACCGTTCAGGATTGAACGCACATGGGGCATGGTCTACTGTAGTCTCAGCAATCAGTCAGTTCTTGAGTTGAATTGAATGAAGTGTGTTCTAGATCCCATGTTGATCGCCCTGTCATTCCAACACCAAAAAAACTCAGACCCCGCAGAGGAGGCACATCTGCTCTTGTGCAGGCTGCCCATGCCAATCACACTCCGGCAAGCGCTGGTGTTCCCAGAAATTTCAGACTCCTTCTCCGATGCCACCTGGTCGCATTTGGTGCTGTGTTGCTGAGTCCCGATTTACACTCTACATTCTGGGTTGTAGAGCTCAGCCCCTTTGAATTCGCGCCCCGGCAGCAAACAAAGCCAGCAGAACAAAGTTTGATCATGGCAGTTGCATCAACATCTCAACAGGACCGAAGAATCACAATAGTTTCAAAACAGCGCGCTCCTGCTGCACTTGACATTCTGCAACCTAGCGCCCACAAGTTCCAGAACCCCATGCAGATGCCACTAGTTGTTTTCCATACTCTTGATATCCTGAACCGGAGCCGAGGCAGAAATCGCCACCGTCCTAAACAAAGTAAAGAAGCTTGCTTGCAAAGAGGTCGGGTGGAGGGGAGACAAAGATTATGCCTGGTCGTTGGTCTGATGCCTTCGCTGAGGGGGGTTCTGTGCATGTGCACGGGGCTCAGGAGCGTATATACTGTCCGCCGTTCAGCGGCGAAGGGTTTCGCGGCGCCTTGCTATACTTTGCTTTGTGTCGAGGCTTGCTGAGCTGCTCGCATTGGGCCTTGACGAGCCCATGGATGCTGCTCGACTTTCGTCGTGAGACATTCTAAGTCTAAGCCCTGATCACGATGTTTCCGGAACAACCGCCAAAGCAACAAACCGTTGCCCGATCTGACGGCTCTGCAGCGGATGCAGGTCGGTTGTATGGTAACTCCCTCAAGTTCCTGATCTCCGTGCTAGTGCTGGCACCAGGTCAACGCAGTTCTCTCCGGAGGTCAGTTCCAGAAGCTGATGGTAGCAACGCCCTCAGCGACCACTTTCCGAGCCTCTCAAAAGCAGTGCCCCGCGCCGGGCCTGGCCCCCCCCCCTACTGATGCGACCATAGAAGAGGGGGCATAGGTAGTCCCTCCTCTTCCCCTCCTGCAACCTCAAAGTTCCCAGCTCCTCCCCACCCTGCAGTGCTCCGTTTGCTGCAGAGGCGCACTGCTTGCTTGTCAAGCCGGCGTTCATTTTGCTCGACGAGCTGCAGCCTCAGTTCAGGAATCTGTCTGTGACGACACTGCCATTGCATATTTGGAGATGCGACGGTTGCTGGGGGCACTGAGGTCAATGGCGCATCTCTCACAGCAGAGTCAACACCACCTGTATGGCTTGCTGCTTGCCGAGATGGCATTATCTCAACAGACTTGGCCACCCTGCGAGTGCAGTTGTTTACGCGTTTTGCGGTCTTCTCGCTACAGTTATCAAAGAAGGGAAAACGGAAGGAAGTCTCTGTATGGACCGTCATTAAGTATGTAAGGTTCTTTCAGTGTTTTTGTTGTTTAGGTTGTTTCCTTGTTAAAAGTTCTTCAGGTTGTTGATGTTATTTAGGTCGTCGTTTGTTTTGTGCGCCACAACGACCGTATGCACGATAGCAACCGCACTCCCATAACAACCCTTAGCCTCTAGTTTTGCGCTTGGGCTTGTCCTTGCGAAGTAGGAGCCGAGAAAAGTTTCGCGTTTACCTTCCGAACCTCAGGAGAACTACTGGGACAGTTGCACTCGCACTCATCTCGGTTTGATACAAAGCTAGTCTAACAGCGCGTGTTTTATGCTCTGGTGCTGCCTAGAAGTGTTGGTTTCACCATGAGACAAAACTTGAGAAGCTGTGGTGAGCTTGATGCTCATTTTTTGGGATTCATTGGTGCAAGCACATTTCACGAAGCAGCATGTGGACCATACGACCTGATTATTTGATGTAAGGATTTTTACGCATTAGAGTATGTAAACTGTACATCGGGGACATATATATATATATAGACACATATACACACATACATATGCATGTATATTTGCGTGCATTGCATGTACAAACCATACACCACCGAGTCCTTTGAAATCTTATACACAGCCACTCAGTCTCAAAACGTACACATGTATGTGTTTGCTGGAGTCAACTTAGCTGCTATATTGTATGTATATATTTTGAAAGGATATACATATACATATACATATATATATATATATATTGGTAGAATATATATTTTTATATGTACAGACAAATGTGAAAGCATAAATACTTTACAGACACGACATTTTCGGAAGCTGTCTTTGAGCAATATGCAATTTATGCTGTTGCTTGATTCTACTCGAGAAATTGTGTTTATGCTGCCATTGTTCGTCTCGTGCTCATGCTTTCGATTTTCTGGTCATGCGAAGAATTGTGGAAAATCACACTCCCGCAGCGACTCGGACTCAATCCAAAACAAACGGCTTGTGCACAAGCCTGGTACTACTGAGGCCAGTAGGTGTTGAAAGATTTGTCCGCGTGTCCTGGCTTTCGAGGGCGTCGATGAGCTTCATAAGAAGTCATAGCGGCGTTCCAGGAAAGAAGCACGGTCAGGCGAAATTACTCAGCGCATTCACGCTATTATACCCATGTGCACACCATCACATCTTCAACCCGGCAATGGAAAGTTGCCAAACATGGCTTCAGAATTTTGCCACTTTCATTCGCAAGGCTTATCGACGAGCTCATCGGACCTGGACGTTGTGGACTGGTCAGCACATGCCATAACCCGCAGGACGCGGATGTGGGTCAAGCGAGGTTACATTTCTTCCAGTAGCTGGATTTCCATGTGGCTCCGAGTTGTTGTGCAGTACAAGTGCTCGTGTAACGGTTGTAGCGTTTCTGCCAGGACCTCGGGAGATATCATCAAGTGCATTATCGGATCAGCCGCAAGGTTCGAGAGAGGCGTCCTGCCTGAACAGAGTCCGGCAAACGTCCTGGAGTTTCTGGGCACCTGAGATTTGTGTGGTTGCAGTCGTGCCAGCTGCCAGGGGTGTTCAGTTTGGTATTTGTCCCGGCCCTTAGCACACACGCTGAAGTCTTTGACTTCCAAAGCAAGCAAGCTTCTCAGATGTCCATGTCCGCCCGGAATCCTTCTCCTTCAAAGGTGCGACAGCACTGGCAGCACCGGATCTGCGCTTTGCACACGCAAACTGGAGTTGGTGGAGCCAGGTCGGTCTCCTTGGTGGCAGTACCTGACTCGAAGCCAAACTTTGCCAGCCGAAGCTTGTCCTGAACTGCTCAATCACAAGCTCCCGACTCCTAATTGACAGGAAGAGTTACCCTCCTCCTTTGGCCCCTCAAGATTCATCACAGCCGGACATTGGCCAACCGCAACATCGGAGGTGCGGCAGTGGAGGCAGATGCAACCAGCCCCACACAAGATGCGCACCGGCGCCTTGCCGAGCAGGACGTTCGGCCGAATGAGGCTTCAGAAGACTTCAGAGGATAGTTAAGATTCTGTTTGCTTGAGCATGCGAGCATGCACACTCGTGCCGGTGGAACTTTCTGAAGTGAGGCGTTGATTCAGAGAACAGGTGTTGCAGTGTTGACATTGCGCCGATCAACCCTTTTTCGCCTGTGGTTCTCATCGCACGCCCAGCCCTTGCATGCGTTTGTTCATAATAGTCTGTAAAAACATGTATATGTTTTGTTATAGACATATATATATACACATACGTATATTAATTTTTCTATTTATTTTTTTATGTTTATATGATGTTTATATTTACGTGTGTATGTGTGTATGTGTATATGTATGTGTGTGTGTGTGTGTGCGCGTGCGTGTGTGCTTTTGTGGCAAGAATATGAGAGAGAGAGAGAGAGAGAGAGAGAGAGAGAGAGAGAGAGAGAGAGAGAGAGAGAGAGAGAGACCTACCTAGCCATTTTGGCTCAAGTGCTCAAGGCGCCGCCCCACTGTCCAGGCGCCACAAACCGAGGGGAGAGGTACTGCTGAGAGTGTGTGACATCCCGACCACGCCAGGGGATTGCAGGTCGGACCGCGCAGCAATACTCCTGACCTACCAGTTTGCTGACCTACGCGAGATCCAGCACACCGCTTTAAAGCGCGACCTCGTGAGGATCGGTCCAGTACGGTGCCGCTGCGGGGGCGTGCGGGGGACACTGTGCACCACTTTGTCACCGATATCGGCGACACTACTCAAGCAGGGGAACCCGACGCTGATCCGGGACACCATCGCCCTCGAGCGTCGACAACCTCACCTCAGTGTTCGTGACTTGGGCATCCCGACCGAGAATGCATTCTGCACCTATGGATTCCGATGCTCCAGGTGGAGCGAACAAAAGGCGAGCCCCAGAAACGGGGGATGGGCTAAGCCTGGAAGCGATTCGTGAAGTCATCAAGGGGACGACTACAACAACTAGAACAAAAGGTACAGCACCTGCAGCTGCATGGGGGGAGCTCCACGGCAGACACCGAAGGGGGAAGCAAACAGCCGGCCCTCATCCTTGGTGGATGGGAAGATGACAGTCAGGCCAGCGAAACCTTGCAAAAGGCCCGTGACATGATCCAGTAACTCCGCATTGACATCGACATGGACCAAGCCTTCTGCCCGGGGGTCAGGCGAGGATACGTTATAGTACCTTACAAGCCCAGAGCAGCCGAGACGGGGGAAGCACTGCGAGACCGACTCCGCCAAGCCCTCAAGCGTGTGAGAACGGCCAACATCGCTATGGGCCGCAAGGCCGATGGGGGGACCAGGTACCTATGGATGCAGCTCTCCCAATCGCCAGAGCGCAGGCGCCGTGCACAGCTAGCTGGAAAGACCAAAAGGCTGCTGCTCTCTTTGGGGGCCAACCCAGGAGGAGTGGAAGTGGAGTGGCCATCGGGTACCGTGTGGTACTTTGGCACCCGCGTTTGCTCTGCCACCACCAGCCCGACCGCGGGGGCAGGAGCCGGATGGATCGACCTGCCGGCCATCGCAGCAGGGGTGAACAAGACCGTGGGGGACGTCTCAACAGAATGGGGCGACCTCAAGCAAGCCCTCCGCTGAGGGGAAGAACCCACTGGCAGCACCGATGACAGCGACGAGGGGGACAATGATACCCCAAAGTCGCCAACCTTTCGACCCCTTAAAGGGGAGCACTGTTTTCACATAGCGACCTGGAATGTCGGCGGCCTCAACGTGGAAGCCACGTTCGACCTACTGCGGGCACTCGGGGGAGCGAAACACCTTTGCATGCTACACGCTGTCCTGCTTCAAGAAATCATTACCAGTCCTGGCATTTCCTTCAAGTCGGGACACGGATGGAAACTCATCCACGGCAAGATCGAGGGAGAGTTCAGAGGAGAGGCGATCGCGTACAAACTCAACATTGCAACACACAGCCAGTCGAGACTCGTCAAAGGGGGGATCGGCACGGTGCTACGCTTCAACTCTGGAGAGCGATGGGGGATACTCAGCGGGCACATCCCATGCGAACGGACTGCGATGCCTTGTCAAGTTCTAAGGTGTCACTATAAGAGCTGTGATCAAGACCGTGTAAAGTGCAAGAGAAGGGGGCACGCTACGCGTCCCTCGACTCTAGGGGGCATGCTACGCATCCCTCATCTTTACCTTTCTATGTGACCGCCAACGCAACGTTTTGGCTCAAGTCAATGCCCATAGCTAAGTGCTATATGTGTCTTCTATCCTGAGCAATCAGAGCTATCCCGTTGCACAGACGAACCGCCGCCGGCAGTGAGTGCAAAAGGAACGGCCGCCGTTTCTGCCTGCATAGGATTGCACGTGTGGAAGTAAGAGGGAGAGACAGGGTCCAGCCTGTGGAGAGTGCAAGCCAGCCACACCTACATTCATTACCGCTCTGGTGGGGAGAGCAGCAACCAAGTCGAGATCAATCCCCCACGCAGGTTATCAGCCGTACGCGGCTCTGCCTTTCTACAGCAACGACTACTTGATCTACTACGACCACAATGAACTCAGGATCAATCCAAGATACGACAATGACTTTCGGTGCCGATGTGGCAGCGCCAGCCGTTGGTGAGTCAACAGCTGACGACACAGTGGTGCAATCCGTTGATAGCTCCACGGAAGATGACAAAGGTCACTCTTCTGCGCTTGCCATCGCAAAGGCAGTTCCCAAGGTGAAAGCAAAGAGTCTACCAAGAGCATCTACGCCTTCGCGTCCGACATCCACAGGTTCGAGGACGGGCAAGGCTTCAGAACGACGGGCCTAAGCGTCTGGTTTTCAGGCACCTCGGACTACGTCCAGGGCCAAGGACAAAGGAGTCAAGACCTTGGAAAAGAAGTCAAGACCATCATCTTCGAGAAGCTCTTCAGCACGATCGAGGACTTCGGCTACTCGTGGACGTGACAAATCCATGACTTGGAATCGGATGGTTACCAACCAACCACGTGATGCTGACGATCTGGATATGACTCTGGACACTATCCCAGCACGTGGTGATGCATCATCGGTGACCACGCCAGCCATAGCCGATGGTCCGAATGCCTATCAGGAACTGACGATTTCGCAACAGCTCGAAGCATCTAACCTTGCGCAGCAGATGTACTATCGCAGTCAGATGCAAGAATACGAGGGAGTTGTTCAGACCCTGATGGACAAGATCAAGGAGATGCAACAAGAAGATGAAGGATCTGAAATTCGCATTGAAGAATTGGAACGACAACGTGACCATGCATGCTTAGCCATGAGGCACATCAACAATGTCAATCAGGAGATGAAGCGAGACTATGAAACAGCTTTGTTTCGCATGGATGAACAGAACTCTGCTCAACAACGTCAAGCACATGCCGTTTCCGAGGAGTTAGCTCAACAGCTACACGTGTTCCGCACGGAGGCAGCCACCAACTTTGTGCAGTTGGAGGCAAGAGCGCAAGGCGATGGTGAGCTTATGGCACGTGAGTATGAGCGTCTGACTCATGAACTTCATGAACATGCCAGAGAGAACTTGGTCCTCCTGTCAAACACAGCAAGTTCGGAACAAGCCTTACAAGCAATGCAGGAACGATTCCACTTGGTCAAGAACCAGGAGTTGCGGGCCGTGAACGAGATCCAAGGGCTAGCTGGAAACAGCGCAGCCATTGATCAAGAACGATTTCGGCTTCGCGAACGTCTTGGTGAAGAGGAAGAGTGCCGCAAAATGGCTGTGAAGAGGATGCAAGAAGCAGAGGACCGACTTCATCAGAATGAAGATCATGCAAGGCGATCATTGCCTACCTTGCACGACGAGCTGAGTGAACTCAGGAAAACGCTCAAAGCACAAGAAGATCTTCAAGCGAGGACACGCAGCGAATTGGAGGCAGCGCGGAACTCCAACTATGGTGGAGCGACGCGGCCTTCGAGCATGCCCATGTCCTCGAGGACTACTGAGTCTGGCTGGGAGCATATAGGAAAGGAAGTAGTGCCTGCATTTTCCGTAGGAGGTGAGGTACGATCCCCTGAAATACGTTCCCCAAGTCAAGTTAGTCCAGTCGCCAAAGAGAAGTTCGCATTCTCGGAATCCGACAAGGACAAGAACCTTGTGATGGATGGAATTCCATTCACCGGTGGAAACTTCTTCACTGGCCGCAGTTCAATGCCAATCGTGGCGGATGCAATGCCCGAGCACTACGTGTCAGGTATTAGCAGCCCAGCACTTGCGCGTTCCACGCCTAGTGCAGCCACTTTGTTCGGCATACCAAGCGGATTTCATGGGAAAAGTGATGCGGCAGCCGTGCGTGATCGACAGCTACGCGAACTCTTGGAGGATCGCGGGATGTTGGGATCGAAGTCCACATCATCTGCCAGCTCCTCAAGACCTGTTGGTGTCGACGGTATCACCGCATCTACGAAGGGCAACGACCTCATCGGTCCCCCTATTGCCTATGACGATTCCATTCATGAAGCAAGGAGACGTCAGATCGAGCAAGAGGTCGCGGAACGGTACGAGGAGAAGATTGCCGATCTGCGAAGCGAAGTACTCAAGGCCCAGAAAGCCGAACAACGTCTCAGAGCTGATCGTGATGAGTGGAAGTTATTCGCTGAAACGATTCAGGAGGATAATGGAGACGATGACGGTGACGAGGCTGGCGACGAGAACGAAGATGGAGAGCACGATGAAGGAACCGGCGCGGGGTATGACCCTCCTGACCCGCCTGACGATGATGATGATAAGAAGAAAAGCGGTGGAGGCAAACCTGAATCGGATCCTGGCTCGCATGCGCGTGATCCTGATGGAGACGCTGATCCTGAAGTCACAGAGGTGAGAATTTCCAGGAGGGAAGCCGACAAAGTGACCGTTCCTCCA